CAAAACTTAGGTGTTACGTCATACGATTTATTATGTGAATAAGAGAAATATGGATCTGTCAGATTTCATCTATTAGTACTGTACGTGCTTATATAGTGTTTATAAACATATACGTGTGTATGTTTAATTAATACAGTAAAAGCTATTATTCGCACTTCCTTCGTTGACGTTTTCACTATTTGCGGATTAAAAAAATTCGACCCAACTTCCATATTCGCGGCTATAAATTTCTTTAATCGCGGATATTTTGTGACTGGTTCCGGAATTGTTTTGTTTCTGAAGTTGAAACTTTAAAAAAACAGAATTTAGACTTTAGAGCACTTCTAGTTTTGGACAATGCCCCAGGTCATCCTCGCGAATTTGAAACTATGCGTCCAAACATAAAAGTCACATTTCTACCTCCCAGCACGGCGCCTTTGCTTCAACCTATGGGCCAAGGAATAATCCAGACCTTTAAGCTCTATTACATTAGACGAACCTTGGATAATATGGAATGAAATCCTGATATGAATGTTATGGAATGCAGGAAGAAACTTGGCATAGCAAAATACATCGTAAACATAAAAGAATCATTGGAAGAACGGAAGCCACACACATTGAAGTCATGCTGGAAAAAACTGTGGCCTACTCTGACGGCGGAAAATGACGAAGAGCCTGTGCAAGTTCAAACTTTGACTGCAAACATAGCCGAAATCGCGAATGGAATAGGACGAGATGGGTTCGAACACATAAAATCAAGTGACGTTCGGGAATTGCTTGAATCGCAAGATGAAGATTTACTGAAACCGACTTTGAGGAAATGTTAAATCCACAGCCCATTGAAGAAGGGGCTTCAACAAGCACTGGGAACGTTACATTTAATTTGAAAAATCTTAATGAAGGTTTAAGATTGGCAAATGAGCTTCGCTATTTCTTTATGGGACGAAATCTTATTTTTAAGAGGCAAATTGCTAATGCGACTGCTGCGTATCAGTCTCAATTGAAGGAGCTTTTAAAAACTGCCAATCAAGAGAAAGTTACAAAACTCCTCAAACCATTGCGTAAGCCTTAAGATAATTAATCAAAATGTTCAAAAACTTCAATTAAATCGATTTTTTTATGTATTTGATTTTTTTTATTTTGCCACCTGGGAAAGTATCCCCTATAATCTCATATAAATTATCATTCCGTATTCACGGTTTCTGCATTCGCGCCGGTTTATGGAAAGTATACCCCGCAAATAGGGAGCTTTTACTGTACTCTACTGTACTGTACTGTACTGTACTCTAATTGTCCTTTGAAGTATTGTTGGTTTGCTCTTTAAAATAAGTGGAATATTGCATATTTTAATAACAGAACTCCTTTTGAAATGTTAAAAGTTACATCTGTGAGTTGATATATATAAAAGAAATGTATTGCGAAAAAGTAACGGTAATAAACAAAACATGATTAAAAATGGTTGGAGAAGAGCTTATTTCAAAACAGTAGAAAAGAAAGTTCAATTATCTACTTATGCATTTCTTTCGCACGTCCGATGAGTAAGTTTTGTCCGCCCTTTGGTCCATACATGCGTTAAAGCGTTAAAGTAAAATCAACGATTTCTCTCCAACTAGATTCAATAGACAGACACAAGCAACAAATTGGATATACAGGCTCAATCTTTGCAGTCGTTTTAAGTCAAAAAATTAAGACTATGTTAACAAAATTTTCATTGTCTACGTAGGAAAATGTTTGAATTCTTGTATTTTTATTTAGCTTCCAATACACTCTATCTATTTCTTTCCTTCTCTTTTTTTCTAATGCAAAAGAAACAATGCCAAGTTTAATGTAAGAAAGAAAGAAAAAAAAGTATCCCACATTCATAACGATATAACAAATAGAGTAATTAAATCGTTCATCAACATGCCACTACGGAAGCTTATATTATTAACTTTCCGGAGCGCAAAATTAAACTTTTTACCGTATGATTTTTAAACCATAACACATAAAAAGGAAATTGATATTGAAAGTTTTCTACCATTTACTAAAATATAAGGGAAAAACCCGTAGTACTGATTACGCATCTTTTAGTTAACTATTCGACGCCATGCATTGAAAGTCTTTTAGTTTTGCATTTCGTGTTGTTTTCGTCATTTGAAATTTAGTTCGAAAAATAAACCAATCACGCGAACGTAAATAAAAGCAAACCTATGTAACATTTTGAATGAAAACAAATAAAGTGAAACAAAAAGCATTTCCAGCAAACAAAAAGGAAGAAAAAAATGAAAGAATGCACATAATGCATTTGCTTTGTAGTTAGAAGAATGTGTGCATATATAAGCAAAATTACAAACGATTTAATACCAACTAAAAGAAAAGTACTTTTTTTTGTATAAATTCGTTTCAATAATCGTCAGTGACACCTACAAGTCAATTACCAGTATTAGTAATTATTCTTTGACAGATATCTATCATATTAGGGAAGGACGAAAAGAAATGAAATTGCTCTGAACTCTGAATTCTGGACTCTACCATGTTTTGATTTTTATTTTGTAGATTTATGGATTATCGTATGGATCCCTCTGCACAGTGAATTCCAAATTCAAACTTAGCTTTGTGCTATATTTTAAAGAAACATTTTGTTGGGAATGGTTCGATGTAGAAAGCTCTGTACTTTCAGATATCTTTTTTGGGCTTAATATAAAATTTTGCGTTTTGGTTCAGTTAAGTAAGTAAAGCAATTTTGTTTAGAATTTATTTTATTTTCCATTTAGGGCTGCTTTCTCTTATAAATGCATCTCTGAGCAACGAATTCTAACACAAACAGTGATCTACACAGCCTTCGCTTGATTTGACATATGTAAATATGTAAAAGAGCGTCTATCACAGCTATTGTGCATAGGTAAAGCAAAAAACTCGAAAATGGAAATTAGCCTTCGTCATACATAATCACTATCCAGTTTTGGCAAAAGAGAAATAGTATTATTCTTTAAGGCCCACAGACCTGCAAATTGTCAGGTAATTCACGACCTTCACAATAAACTATCTGTTGTTTATTTGTTGTATTTTAAGAGAAAAACAAAAAGAATTTAAAAAATTGATCGAAAAAATGTATTAACTTTAAATAGCTATGTACTGATAAATAATGCATTTATGTTGTTTCATTAATAAAACGAAAGTGAAATGTTAATGATTTGCTTACCAGTGCATAATTTCGAGTCTCATGTGCCGTCTATGAACGGGTGATAAGGGTTATGACAAATTTTGAAAATAAAAATTCTTCAGTATTAAAACGCAAACATTTTATTATCGATTTAACTTAAGGCTTACAATATTTTTCTTATTTTTTGGTATGAATTTACGATTTAATATTTTTAAGTAAAGTTTCCAAAATCTTTGATTTATGCCCTCATGTGTTTATTTGTTTCTTTTTCTACTTTTAAATGTCCTTATTTTCCTGTTATTAAATAATGTTTTATTCACTCGTCAATGGAAACGTTGTTTGTACGATGCTTACTCTAAGATCTTTTAATTTAATTGATTTTGATAATTTATGAAATAATTGATCATCATTGTTCGTTTATGTAATAAAGAGCTAAGTGATGTAGTTAACCTTCTAATTGATCTAAATTTCAATTGTTAATGGGGGAGCGAAAAGGGAATGTATTTATAAAGTACAATTAACTAATATTTACAATAGTTTCGGTTTACTGAACAGTATGAAACTGATTTTGAACGAAAGGAAAGCTAAACACAGTAAAAAATTTCATCGACTTCCGAAAATTGACAAACACTATTTTAATATCAGTTGTGATATCCGAAATTTGATTAGAAATATTTTGAAAGATCAAAGATCAGGTAATATAATTGAAGATATACAATGAATACTATAACATCTACGACAATTAGTAATGTGTTACATTTATATAAAATTAAATGAAAAATAATTGGTTTTAAAATTGAAATGCTACAGCATTTGTGTCCGTCAAGTTTGGTAAAGCCAGTCAATCGGTAGTTCTTTAATAGAATGCCTTAATTTGAACTAACAATTTAGTTATCACCTATTTGTAACAAACATAAGAGAATTATTGTGTTGTGTTCAAGACTTCAGAATGCGAAATATATATTTAGCCTATCCCATATTCAATTATGAATGTTTACAAAAGACATTGAAACATTACATCATTGGAAGATTATATCGGTTCGGAAACACAAGCTTTTTTGTGACCACTAAATGAAGTATATATTCGAAAACCTTTGCAATTTTCTAATACGAGATTTAAAAAAATATATTTTAAAATATGTTAACCGAACTGAATGATGATATCAAGAATATGCAACCACCTTTTGGCTAGTTAATCAATTTGCTTCTTTTTTTTTTTTACTTTTGATGATAAAATTTGTTAATGAAATTTAAAGAAGGTTATAAGATATAGAAAAATAATTGGAAATTGACTTTTACGTTATAATAAATTGATATCGAATTATTTTTTGAATCAGTCTCTACTGATATTGACTTGTTTGTAAGTTAATTAATTACATTACATTTAACGTTGTGCACGCATGCCTTCCTTTTCGTATATACATATACGCGCGAGTACACATCTATCTATGTATATTTATTTATATATAAAGTGGAAGATAGTAATAAACCAGCCAACACCAAAGATTATTTTTTTCCCAACAATAATAATAATTATAATAATAATAATAGTATATATATGTAAACGTAATTATATATGTATTTGTGTATAGATGAGCGTGTGTATATTTAACTATAAAGGGCTTTAGTTTGAAATTATTTACACAAGCACCGATGAAGCTACCTATGCCGTAGTTTTTCACTGTGTTCTTCAACATAATTACCTTCCTCCTCATAAAAGCCCAAGTTTAATTTGGAATTTGTGTAAAAGGAAATTGAAATAATTTTTGTATCGTAATAATCAACCAAATTAGCTAAATGCATAGTTGTTCAACTTACAGGCAATACTTAGATACGATTGTTTCCTGTTTCGTTTTTCTTTTAGTTTTTTTTTTTTTTTTGTTTTCTCGGTCATATATACTAATAATAGGGCTTATTTTCTATGTACAACACACATACACTGACAAGGTTTCGTTAATTATAAAATTTAGTAATTACGCAATACGCGTTTTTGTTTTCTATGTCTTAAAGTTGTAATGACATCGTGATGCTACAAATGCTTTAAAATATCCTGGTGATATATATATATATATATATATGCACCCATATACCTAACTGTATTTCGGGATATGTTTGATTTTGAGCTTCGATTTGTAGTTATTTTGGTCTATGCTTCTTCTAATATTTATAGCTTCCTTTGCGTGAAGCCATTGCTGGTGTAGGCAGTTTCGAGTTCCATGTTTTAAGTAGTTTTCCTCTCTTTTTAATTCTTTTTTTTTTTGCTTTTTTTTTATTTTCTTAAATTTTATTAATTGATATGTTATCACAAAATGCCGAAGGTGGACTTAAATTCTTTTCGCTGATTATATGTTGATATTCATCTGGCACGGCAGTGTTTGTTTGGCTGGCCAACGTTGACGATGTTTCATAACCTGCTTTACTTTTATTTGGATACAAATGCGTGGCCATTGTGGATCCTATGGCCAATGTGTCCGCATTGCTTAGCGTTTCCATGGCACGGTAATCGAAAAATGTTGACATATTCTCATTGGGTATACCGAGTAAATGTAACGGTTCAATACTATGTGGTAAATGATGGCGATAATTATCTGGCGCTTCCATCATACCGCTTGGTGTTATGTGTTTAACGTTGTCCGTTTGATTGCCAAGCAGTTTTCCTTTCCTACGTGGTGTTATGGTTAAAAAGTCCCCATAACTTTTATTATGACAGGCTAGGGGAGAGGATGCAATGGCAGTACCTTTAGTATGTGAAATTAAGCGCTGTTCGGCAGTTGTTTGTTGATTAGCAGCAGCGGCTGCTTGTTTTAGTATTTCGACATAGGAGCCCGATTGGACAATATTCGGGGCGGGGACGCTGTCCTTAGGTGAAGATTGGAATTCATTGGCGATACTGTTTCCGCTGCTGGAATTATTATCGGTATTTTTTGCTCGTATTTTGCCGGATAAACTGCCGGACATATTTGTATTGTTGGCTGTATCTTGGGCACATTCGTCTGAAGCTTGTCGCTGATGATAAGATTGTGGTGATTGTGTGGCTTTGAGACTCGACTGTTGCCGTTTGCGTTGTTGTTTTGGTGGCGGGTCAAAGAGCCGGTAGTCGAGCGGCACCGTGTCCACGCTGCTGTGTATATCCATACGTGATTGAATTAATTGCAAATTATTGAAATATAATAAAATTAATATAAGAGAAAACTGGGGAATAATGCAGTGACAATATTAGTATAAATAAAATCGTTACTATGAAATAAAAAACAATGCCGTAGCCATTAAACGAATACGAAGCCATTAAAGTGAGTTGTGAGACTAATATTATATATTAATAGCAATAAACAAAAAGCAAGGATTAGGATAGGCAATGGATCTATTAAGAAGCCAGTGCTCACAAAGATGCATATAGTTTAAGCTTTCTTTGGTATATTGGGAGTTTTTTATACAGTTCAAACTAAACGTATAGTAGTAATAGCTTGGAAAACTCTACGTTAGGCAGCCTTCTTGCTTTAAATTTATATCATTAGATCTCTTACATAAGTCATTTTGAATTCGTATTAAAATTACGTAGTGTGTAGTTGTTAAGCGATTATAGTTATATTTTCCAAAAAGCTCACGTAGATGATTCAAAACATGTACGCTATTTAAGTAATGATTGCTACTAGGAAAGAGAAAATTTGTTCACCATTTCAACGCTAATCTAATTCTATTAATGACAAATCGAAGCACGTATAAAAACATTGCAAAAATTAAAAATTTTTTTTTTTATTGAATTAGACAACTACGAACATAAATTAATTAACTTCCCAAGTAAGCCAAAACCAAGTAATCTGATTTTGAACTCCAAATTGCAAGGGCCAGTTTCGTACACTTCATTTGATTTTAAAGTAAGTGAAAAACTTGCTCCAAAGAAAGGTTGTGCACTACTTGGTACTAAAATATTCATCCCGAGCAATTATCTATAGACGACTATTTTTAATTCTTGCTTGATTATTTTTCAAACAAAAGCGTAAGCAACAACAATAAAGTAAATTTTTATGCCTTGTATAACTTATGGTAAGAGTATGTTGAAATTGAAGGGATGTACGCAACACTCGGGAACCTTTATTACATCAATTGTCTGTTCGTCTGCCTTTGTGATGGCTGTGCATGTGCTCTTATTTCCGAGCCACAATTAACAGTCTTCGATATGTTGTCATAAAATTTAGCATTTTTCCATATTTTGTCCCATGGCAAACGCTGCTCAAAATGCATCGAATTGGACTAATTTCGGATCGATTATTATTATTATTAAGAGCAGATCACTCGATAAGATGAAGGTTGACGACGCCATACGATTTTTAGATGGCACTAACCTTTAAACGAAATGTATCAAATTTTCATGACATTATTTTACGAGTTACAGTTGTACGAACAGTTGTCCTACGAACTTATTGCACAAGGTGTTATGACGACATTTTATAATGAAAATACGTGAAGAGTTGGATTAGCAAAGGGATGCAAGATATTTAGTAGCGTCCTACTCGTGGATAAAATATTTTGACTTCTTCAAGGAAACCTTTAACTTGGGGTGGAAACTTCTGATTGCGGACATGCCTCGTTCTGATTATCTTTGACACACACACACATCGATCCAGTCATGTTTAGGAGATCAGCGATCCACAAAAGCTGAAGTTGTATGGTAATGGACCTATGACTGTTTCATCTCGAAAGCATGAAATGTTCACAGCGAAGGCATCCGCAAGTTTCCCAAAAAAGGCAAAGAACTCTAGATAATCAAGTTTTGCAACGACCAGTTTTTAATCCATTCTGGATTTTATCAAAAAACGTTGAGAATTTATCTATAGGTCTATTTTGGTATTCGTTGAAGATTCCTAGTCCTTTTTAGCCGATTGACGCACTTTCCAGCGAGACTTTGTTAACGGTCGTAGTTAAAAAAACGAAATTGTGTAGTGATGTTGGAAAGTTTTGACAAGCACGTTAAGTGATTTTGCAGATTGTCGAAATTAGCTTTACAAGGCTGATAGTAAAAAATTTGTGCTGTTAAGAAAAAGTTTTAAAGATATAACCGTGATTTCCATGCACAGGCACATGCATCAAACGGTAGATAACAGTCTGTCGTGAGTATGATAAAGAGCGAATTTATATGTGTGGTCTTGATATTGTAATAGTCGAGGTTTTGTTAAATATTAAAACATTTACATAACTTAGTAAATCCGATTCATTTCAATATTTTCAATGTATTTGGTTCATCTCATTTACTACACCACTACGCTATGATCAAATGATAAGGAAAACTTTGCATTATTTTTCTAACTACTCATGCATTGGAAAGCATTTACATATAAGCATATGTTTCTCGTGGACATACTTTTGCGGCAAGTAATGTGTACGTGAGCGAATTAAGCAGAGCAAGCTAAGTGAAAGATGCAATTAAGTTAAGAGTGCACGTTCTTCTTCCATTCGGTTCCTGTTGCGATGGTGTTTAAATGTACACCTTATCCTTCCTCTTCCAATTATTTAAAAATTATTTGAATCTATATAGTGCAAAAGCAAATAACAAAGCCAATATTTCTTTGTTCCATTACAGATTATTAAGATAAAAAGTTTTTTTGAAAATAACTCGACTCGGACTTTTTTGTTCTACTTGTGCTTTAGATGTTTTATCATTTTCTCGTCTCACTTAGAGAATATGTAATTTCAAAGAACGCCTTCTACGCTAGCCTTTTACACGCTAAATTTATATATACACATAAATAAATGAGATTATAAAATGACATCTACACACATATGTACAAAAGTAGAAAAAGTAAGAAATTTGTAAATAATAGACATCTAATGTGTGTGGCTTGCCTATTCGATAGAGAGCTCTTTTGTTGGTATCCGACCATACTATCGCTACTACCACTGCCGCCGCTACCCGAAGATTTCAAAATCACCAAAGCATTGGGACTACTGCGGGAATTGCTTATGGGTTGATGATTCGTTTGATCGGCAGTGGTGGTGGTTTTGGTGACAGTAGAGGTGACCTTGTGTTCATGCTTGGACGATGATGCAATTCGGTGTGAGGGTGATGTGGTTGGTGAAAAGGTTCGTGCAGGCTGTTGCTTTTGTGCGGCTTTTATCTCTGATCGGGGACGTTGTAGGAGATGTACATACTGGTGTGGTGGAACATGGGCTTGGGATTTTGTTTTTGTTCTTGTCGGCTTTTCATGATCACTTGTCAATCCTTTACTATTACTAGCGGTTGGTACGCTTTTTGGACGAGGTGCAAAAATGGCGGACTGTGGGTTGGGGGTAATAATTTTAGTAGGTATAATAATTTGAAAGAAAGATTTTCTAGATTTAAACGATAATGGCTTATTTTGTTTGCCTTTGTTCGATGATTGCTGTTGCTGTTCAGAAGCAGTATCGGCCAGCCCGTTAGAAGTGCGTGAGTTCTCGCTCGTGGAATCTTTCTTGCGTTTCGGTAAAATACTTTCTACATATACGAAAACATTTTAAAGGTACACTGATTAAGGTTAAATAAGCAAGGTATGGTGATAATGTTAATGGAAAGGTATGTGAAGAAATGAATGAGTGATAAAATATTGTTAGTGAGTAGGTGTTAATTACGGTAGTTACAGCTACAAAGATGCAGGATTATTGGCAGCAAATGGGGATGATACTCTGGGTTAGTGTGAGTAACTGAACTTTCAATTTTTGTACAGTTTTGATAAGAAAAACAGGTACTAACTTACTATGAAGTTGAGGCCTGCTAAATACCGACAGGCGTTCCTTGTTCCCGCTTCCACTACGTGGACTATGACCGTGCACTTGAATAGTTGATTAAATAAGTGGAAACAATTTCAGAAAAAACTCAGTACAGAAAGAGGTACGTACTGTTGCAGCCCGAATTGTCCATTTGATTGGAAGCATCAGTATGTGAGCTGCGGTTATCGTCACGTATTCGTTCACCGCTAAGATCGCTATCACTGTTGAGACTATCGTATTCTTCGGATTCGGATTTAATGGCCTTAGAACGCCGTTTATGCCGTTTTTCGGTACTTGTATGACTGCATTCGCCACCTCCCAGGGATATGTTGCCACTACCCACGCTAGCCGAGACAGACCGCTTCACTTTCACTCCCGTACTAGATAGTGTGTTGTCATCGCCTCCCCTTGGATCATACATGGGTTGAATGCCTTTGCGGTTCAGTGGTATATTTGCTGATTGATTTTCGTGCTCTGGTAAATGGAATGTAGCGTAAGGATATATATCTTCAGAGTATTCAGGAATGCGCTCAAGTGCAACAACCGAGTCTCCCGGTGATTGCTGACACGATTTGCGCATCGTACCATAGTATTGCTCACGGTGTTGGATGTCCTTTCCCTCGTTGACAGACGGCCGCAAACTCTCGACATTTCTTGTGAACAACTGCCTTGGATCTAAAACTCAGGTGAAGTGAAAATAAATATTTTTAATGAATCAAATAAAATTCATCAACTTACAGTTCTTAAAGCACATACAGGCGCCAATCAAAGCTAATATTGTGCCGAATATGGATGTAATTATGACCGCAATTAGATGGGCATCTCTAAACAAACTCGATACTTCTGGCAGATCGCTCTGATCTAATTCAGTCGAAATTCCATTGTAACGCAACGTCTCAAAAGAATACTCTTTAATAGTCGATCCGGCATTATTATGAGCGGTAATTCTTAGGCTGTAAACAATACCTGCCTCCAAATCACCAATGGTGTAACGAGTCTAAAGAAATTTTAAAACAAAATTTTCTAATTATAATTCAGATAATATCTCTTGATAGATTTGGACTAGCTAAATATTCTACGAGATCCACACATTTCTAGTTATGAATGGCCGAAGAAAAAATAAAGCAGCATGATTTGTGAACATGAGAGATTTTTCAGTTAAATGCATCAACTACTTTCAAACCTTATGGATCTGATTTAAACTTACGTGAGTTTCTATTCTGCTGGACACAATAATCCAGTCATTCGCGACACCATAACGCTTAAACTCAATACTAAAATACTGTATAGGACAACCACCGTCTTGCCACGACGACAACTCCACTAAAGCCGAAGTTATATTAGGACGAATAAGGCTATGTTTCCCTGGTGCAATAGGTTTACTGCCTACGAATAACCAGAAATATTTATGTAAATGAATATTCCACCATAGTAACAATCTTTAGCTGAGTAAATACCTTTAGTCTTTGCAATTTCAATGGGACTTGTGTTGCTTGTACCAATTTTATTAAAAGTTACAATAGTAAATTGATAACGGGTGCCACATTGCAGGTTCTCCAGGAGTTGGGAATTAACTCGCCTATCCAGCTGGATTTCCTCCCAGTCACTGAACTCTTTTCGATAGGTAAGCGTAAAACCTCTTAGAGGTGCTCCTCCAATATCTTCCACCCGCCACTGTAATGAGACTGAATTGGAGGTGGTGCCAATAACAGCTATGATGGGGGCTGACGGAGGCACTAAAGAAGAACAAGGTGTTTTAATTTTATATTTAAATTATTGCAAACTTTACTGCACCTTGAACGAAAAGTTGATAGACAATATGATCCGAACCTATGGCGTTCCTGACAATGCATGAGTAATTTCCTTCATGAGATCTTTGTATGTTGCGTAGCGTAAGAGTGTTATCGTTACTAACCTCCAAGCGGAAGTGTTTTTTGGAGCGGGCATTCAACACTTTCCATTCGGAGTTCGGTTTTGGTGAACCTACAAAGAGGCAAGGTAACTTCATATCTACTCGCCAGCTGATACTTAAAGTTTGACTGAAAGAAATTATTGCAGCTGGCACTGAAGAACTTGGTACCAGTTTAATAACGGGTGTGCTGGGACCTTGACCTACGCGCGTGGAGGCCGTAACCCAAGCTTCATAAGTTTCGCGAGTCGACAAATCTTTAGCTTCGAAATGTCGATTCTGGGCTGGCAAAACTTCTTTAAGAATTTTCAATTCCTGACCCTTGTCTAATATTCGTATGTAGACGTTATATTTGGTGACAATTCCATTGGGTCGCCGTGGTGGTAGCCAGCTTATAATGACAGAAGATTCCGAATTTACTACTGACTTTACTCGTTCGGGGGCATCTGGTACGGCTTCTTCGGTTGTACAAGATACAGTAGGGCTTACAACACCTTCGCCAGCTCTAGTGAACGCTAACGATTGGACGCTATAATTAGTAAATGGTTGGAGACCGTGCAAAACTGTGCTCAGAGCCGACGTAATTTTAGTTTCGCGAGTTCCGTATTCAGAATCAAAATTTCCTGGTTCATATAAAACCTTGTAGCCCTGGATAACACCGTGATGATTCTCCTTAGGTGGAGCCTGCCAAGAAATTTGTATATTCTGGGCTGTTAAAGCTATACATGTAACACTTTGTGGAGCAGCCGACGGAGCGTCTTCTAGAGTGTGCCCCAAAGCCACCTCGCTGGGTGGCCCATCTCCTTTCACGTTGAAAGCTGATACGGTCACAGCATATTGAGTGTATTTCTCCAAGCCAGTAAGGCGAAAATCATTAAGACCTTCACCTCCTAAACTGCTAACTTTGGTGAAATTTTGAAAATTATCAGAAGAGCCATGTTTCTGATACGCAATAGTATAGCCAAGTAGTTCCCCATTCCATGTATCTCTTTCTGGAGGCCGCCAAGTGATTAGTAATTGCTGCGGCCCTAAAGGCTCAGCTGAAACATCTTGTGGGCGGCCGTTAGGAGCTTCAGCGTCCGTTTGCACTAACAAAATATCACTAGGAGCGCTGGTACCGAGATGATTTTCGGCATACAAGCGAAAGTGATAGGCTTGAGCAGGTCTTAAAGAGCCGATTTGCGCTGTTGTTTTTTCCCCTGGTAGTAGCTTCTGATTGTTTCCCTCATGCCAAACATCTAACAAAAAAAAATTACAAAATTACAAACTAAATGTAATAGCTTTTAATCTTACCTCCGGCTTTTTTATATTGCAGTATGTAATTGGATATAGGCTGAGAATCACGATTATTTACACCCACAGCAACGCTATCCTGGTCATTTGGTGACCAGGCTAAAGTAACCGAACGGCTTCCTAAATCCGTAACATGTAGATTAACGGGGAAATTTGGTGGCTCTTGCACTTGAAGGTATATAATGCCTCGATCATGACCATAAGTATTGCTGGCAATACAGGAATACTCTCCACGATCGCTAAGAATTGTCTGAAGAATGGTAAGCTCTGAAACAACACCGCGGCTCAAAGGTGAATCTTTGATGTGATAACGTACGTCAAATGAAGGATCGATTCGATTCGATTTGCCACGCCATGAAATATCAAGCGGTTGATCGCCGTCTGCTTCACAACGCAACGTCACACGATCGCCTCGCCGAACTGTTATTTGTTTCTTTGATACAGTTACGGAAGGACCAACTAAGAGCAATAATTAGTTTAATTGAAAGTTTTTATAATACATATGTGTTCATCCTATAATTACCATGAACTTTTAGTTTTATAAGGGTACTGAGACCAGCGCCGATGCCGTTATTAGCCTGGCATAAATAACTACCTTCGTGTTCTCTAGCAACCTTCGGTATACTCAAAGTACCATTGCTGTGAGTTTCAATCACCGACTGAGAATTACCATTGCCAATGTTATAGCTTAGCTCGCGATAATCGCCGGAATCGCCTGGAAACCCGTAAACATTATTCACATTTGAAATTCATTTGATCCAAGCGTTTACCTATTGATTGCTTCCATTGTACTGTCGGAACTGGAAAACCATCTGCTTGACATCTTATCGAAACCGGATTACCCAATATGGCATCCTGATCACTGGGTTTTATGATCCAACGCGGCGGAACTATATTTCAGAAGTTTTTATATAATTTCATTTAAAAAAATAATTGATTGAATGAAAGCTATATGTGCCAAAAACAAAAAAAAAAAAACCATAATAATAGAAACAAACATGCGATCAACTGACATGCGCTATATCCTGTATATGTGAAGGTATTTACGGCTAGAAAACGAATTTTACAGAATTTTCAACTTACCATAGAATGTGGTATAAATATAGAACTGAAAAAAGTAAATGAACTATATCGATTTGCTTTTAACTAAAACCCAAAAGGGAGAGCAATTGAAAGATTGAAAAGAAATTATGTAAACGAGTAACTAAGGATTGTGTTTTCTTTCTAAATTCGAGACATAGATTCAGCAATACAAGTGCGTTTATCTAATAGTTTGCTAATTCGAGTGAATCAATACTGTGGTGCGTGGTGGTGATGATGGTGCTCGTTCCGTGCTCGGTGCGTTGCCTGCTGTTGCCGACATGGTGCTCTCCATTTCACAAGTGCTTTTTTAAGTACAGATACAATTTCTTATTTCCCAATTTCAAATTTCTAGAAATAATAGCACAAATTTGTATGCAAAAGGCGGTGTTCATCTTATATCTCGATGAACTAATGCGGCGCCGTCGCAATTTGACTGCGCCAATAAGATTTGTCGAACTTGCCTGCCTATATCGTTTTAACTTATTCTAAATTTGACAACCATAGGGTTGGAATAATGAAAGTTTTTTATATTGTATGCTCATGAACACATCACACAGAAATCACTTGAACCTGAATTGAATTAGTCTCTTTTAAATATCTACTAATGAAGCATTTAAGGGGTTATGCAATTCTCTAAGTTTGCTTTTACAATTACCTTTAGTCATTTTCAATAACTTCTTAAATATTTGATAGTGTGATTCAAAAGATGTTGTGGCCGATCGAATTCTTTGTATGTCTCGGAACTTCAATTCCTTGGCTGAACTTACTGTTTCAAACTTTAAACTTTGTGTTTTCCGAACTGGCCGTACCATTCACGTAAGTCAAGTTCGGCGAATTTCAAATTTTAACCGTAAGTTCACAATGTGAACTTATTGCGAAATATTGTGCGAGTTTTTTTTGATTCGTCGTTTTTTCTTAAAACACATTTTTCTATTACAATCCAGACCATTTTTTCTCAAATCAATCGTTTCAAACGTCAATTTATAAAAAAGTCTCTTCTTTGTGTTTTATAAGTATTATCATGTTAGTTTTAAACAAAATTTCAAAGAGTCACTTTAACAGCCTGGCTGAAAGGGAAGGTTATATACGAGAAAGCTATTAAGCATATATCTAAGCATTACGAAAAAAGCCTTATTTGGAGGAATGTTAAAAAAACATCGGACCCTGATCCGTAACTGCGCCATTTAACCTACTTGTTTGAAGCCAATGAAACGCGAAAGACATTTCATTAAATTTTCATTTTAGTATGGTTGGCAAGTGTTTGAATGAAAGTGTTTTCGTCATTGCTCGAACGAATTAGGCAAACATATCTAAATAAATTATCTTTAAATAAGTCAATAATTCTCTCTAAAGCGTTGTTTGAAAAGTAACATAAACACCTCTTTTTTTACTGCCTTTTCACCGCCAGCGTGCTATACGCAGGAGAGATATCCCTTGAGCGATGAGGAGAGATCGTATTAAAAAGGAAAAAAATTCGAATTCTAAAGCCCTGTTCATGAACGGCATAAAAAAGTTCACCCGAAACTTTTCTTGACGGAAACACTGACAACTTTCGAATAGCTCTTAGTACCGTACAAATTCCAAGGTAGCAGTGACGAATCGACTCTAACGAACTTTTGCTTGAAAACGTTTTTACACTACTATCAATGCTTTCGAAAGACGGCTGTTAGTGTATTGGATAAGGTAAAAAACAAAAAGTGAGACGTTTTGCTATAACTCTTTAGCACGGATGCATTTCAAACAGTTCATCGTCTAGGAGCGCTTCCGAAAAAGCTGGAAATTTCAACGAAGAAACTTATTTCAATTAGTGGAGTTTTTCCCCATAGTAGGTTCAAAACATCTAAGTAGATATTTTCACGGACGGTAGCCAAACAAGTGATTTTCTAACAGTGGTCAGTAGTGGTAGTGTTACCTTCAAAAAATTTATTCCAATGCATTTATTACTGTTTTCCACTTAATTCCATGAAATAACCCATAGTTGCGAACTCACAAGGTAATAGTGTAAGCCCACAAGCATTATCGCACAAGTTGTCATATCAATACCAACCTTTTTCGTATGATGTTAAGATTTAGGACAAATGGCTAGACATTAAAAGACACTGAGCAAAAAGAAGCAGTTCGTCAGCCGGTTAAAATTTAATTTTTATATTTCTACATTTCTTTTTTATATTTTTGCATAAAAGGAAGGCGAACGCTTGTTCCTGCTTGTTTCATTACCCGAAATGAAACAACGTTACTATCTTGGAGTTAACCGATCATACCTACATCTTTATGGCTTTAAAAAGAATGAGTTGTTCAGTGGAATGAATGTCTTAAAGGAAAATGAATGCTTGATAGAAAATGCAATCCTCACAACTGGTTTCTTACCAATGGAAGATTAGAAAGCAATACTGTCGTGAAGACACTCAAATATGTATGATATTGGAATGGGTTGCAAAAAGTGACACCAAGACATCGCAATGATTAATGGGTTTGTCGGATTTCTATTAACTTCTTGTAAGACTTACCAACATCTGAAGTGCCTCTAATTCTTTAAGTTTGTACAAAGCATTCTTTTAGCGTTTGTGTGCACACACAGTAACAGCTACTTCGTATTAAACGGTTTTCGTTGCATTCTAATCAGCGATTTGGTTTTATGTGAGTGAGAATGTTCTCTAGTATTATTTAATTTTTATAATTTATTTGCGGGTTTTTGTTTTCGCTTCGCTGTTAATCATTCGTTAGAAAAAACGCGAAAAGTTATCATTTTATTGAGAGATGCAAGCATCACAAAAAGTGAGCTATCTTGCTGGAATATCTTCACTTCATTAAAACTTAAGCAAAGCAGATAAATGACTTCTATTCATACGCACTTAACTCAATCAAACAGTTTATTAGCAATTCAATTAAAAGCGAAATTTGATGTTAATCTACTCACACACACACACACACACACACACACACACATACATCTTTTGAATTTAGTTGTTAAAAGAAGAAAGGTGAAAGGTTAGATCATGCCTCGAAATTTGTGCCATTACTTCTTTAAATTCCGATAGTTTTACTTAAATGGTAATGTACATTATTTGCTTTAAGACGCAAAGTGCTGCTGTGAATGATTTGAAGTGTGTCACACATTTTTAAAATGATTACGTTTGCATTTGTTACATTTGTGACCATTTACCAGAAACGGAAAGTGTTGCTGCGTATTCGACTGATCCAGCGCGATTTGTTACGCGACAGGTGTAGTTCCCATTATGACGCGATGTCACATTATGTATCGAGAGGATACTAGAAAACGGCGCATATTCATTGATTGTTAGCGAAGGGTCAGGTGGCTTAGAGGAAGCACTTTTTGGCGATTCATTAGATGACAGTATTGCACTTTCTAGGCCGCCGCTTTGTATTACAACACCATCTTTGAGCCACGTTATATTAAATGGTTGATCACCTTGACTACTAGAGCACATCAGTTGAGTCCGCATACCTTCGGTAATTTCATCCTCAAAACTAAAGGGGGAAATACGTGGTGGAACTAAAGAGATTTTAAGAGAGGGAGAGATAGATACAGATATAAAGATTATCCAAGAAATGAATACGCAATTTAAACCAAAATCAGTTATCAGTTTTTAGCTGAAAATTTTGATATTAAAAAACTTAAATCAAATTATTTCAAAATATTTAGTGTTTCACTAAGTGAACAAAAATAAAAAAATTCGCATTTTTAAACAAGCATTTAAGTATTAACAAAATGGAACAACATGTATACGACATTGCAAAAGCATGCCAACAACAAACAAACAAAGATAATATTAACGGTAAATTATTACAGTGAACGCAAAACACAATACATTCAACACATTCTCATATACCATTAACTCTTAGCTGTGCAGAGTGCGATACAGTAGCAGCATCATTTTGGACGCGACACGTATAGGTGCCGCTTTGGGCCCTCGTCACACTTGTTATGCTGAGGGCGCTGGTGAAATCGTCATTTTGGCGAATTGTCACTATGCCGGCGCCTCCTTCACCACCGCTACTACCATCATCATTCGTTATATGTGAAGGATGTGCGTGTGCATTTGCGTAGTTGATCGATGTCGCCGCCGACATCAGATGGGAGCCAGTGCCCGTGGCAGCAACGTCACCGGTACCACTAAGCCCACCGCTAACACTGACGCCGCTGTCGCGTGAAATATGCCCGGACTTCATACCAGCAGGCCCTGCCGCTTGTAACGGTTGTCCGTCCTTCAGCCAGGTGAATGTGAGCGGTAGGTCACCGGTGCCAATGACACATTGAATGCTTGTGCGGTCGCCGACATTCAGATCGCGAGCGAATGAAAATGGTGTAATCTTAGGCGGAACTAAAAATTTGTTGTTTTTGTTGTTGTTGGTGTTTCATTAATTCAATAATTCTTTGAAACACATATTTACACTTATCAATAATTTAATTTATTTAATTTTTCTTACTCTTTTTAATACAATTATATCAAGAGATGGTTGTGTATGTATCTGTGCAGTTATACCGGATGTCCGTTTACTAGATTATTGTGCTATAGTGGAGAGTTGTTATTTAACCACAACAACAACAACAACAGCCAGTATAACTACCAAGTGCACTTAGTCAACCGTTAAAAATGTAGAAAATTGGAAATTGGTAAAGGGGGCCAGAACCCGAAACCGAAACATACTTTTGTTAAACGTATGCTTTTGCTTATCCACCTTTTTTAATGTTGTGGTGAGGAGCGTCGAAGAAATTTATATCCAGTGAAAACGTGCAACATACGGTCGTCCATATTTGTTTACATTTGCGGTTAACTAATTATCAATCCTGTGCGTGCTGGCCTTTCGAGCAATTAATTAATTAATTAATTCAACTAACAACAGACCAAAGGCTTTTTTATTTTCTTACTTATTTTTAAGAGCACTTTTTAATGCAAAGAGAAAACAAATATCTGACTTTATGTTAGCTAATCGATTGATTTTAACGATATAATGACAAATGGGGCTTTTTTAGAATGAAAGATTGTCATCGTGAATGGTTTTCGTATTCTATAGCATAAAACTAAGGATCAAAAGTATCACCTGCTGGAACATTAAACTGCGCTATCATAAAGCATTAGTAAAACTTGCTGCACATGTGCTCGAACCGCATCCTAAACAACTTACATGCGAAATGCAGTTTTATATATAGCAAACATGGTGCTAGGTGTCGTGCATGATTGTCCAGCTTTTCAGCATAATTAGACTGCATTAAAACGGACTATAATAAACAACGTACTTAGTCTGCGTGTATTGAAACTGTGATAATGTCTAATTTCATCTGTGCATATATATGTCGCTGAAAACTACAATTTTGTCTCTATAATATTATAAAACACGATGTCAATGTGGCGAAGAACTCAACTCTAAGAAAAAATTGAAAAATTAATCCGGGACCCATATGTTGGACAACCATGCCATTATACATACATCAAACACCAACTAACCTACATGAACAAATACGTTTATCGCATTGGGTGGGACATACGAACGTACACACATTGGAGCGGTTCACATCTCAAATTCAAATTTACAAAGTATGCATTTAAAGGCTGCCGAATAACTTAGATCACATGCTCGCCTGTATTGAGAGTTTTTTAGACGCAGTACACTAAAAGGGAATTTAATAGAAAATTTGATGACATCAATAATATAAGTTTTCACCTCTTTCCCAAGTCGTTTTACTGTTTTAGTCTCTTTATGAAAATATGTTTACAAGTATTAAGAAATTCGATCTTTCTACAAGTAAAAAAACATTGGGGACGATTATGGTCGTTGATATTAAATAAACTCGATCGTAATTTCAACATATTACTCGATAGTAATTTTATGATCGAAAGATGATTTATTTGATAGTAAGAACGCATACTTTATTAACAGTTATGGACTCTACTCGTTACAGTGAGTTCATTATTTTTAACTATTAAGTTCATTCTTGCTATCGAGAACGATAAACCGGCTCTGGGTTAAATCTTTCGAAATTAAAATTAAGTACTATCAGTTATACACTTAACTCTGATATACTGTTTTCCATACAAAAATATTTAATTCAAAGTAGTGTTCAAACCCGTGAAATTAACATGCGCCAGAGGAACTATGACAAAATGATAGGCTTAGCTTAAATCAAAAATTTCTACTATTGTTTATCTTCGTTACTTTGATAAAAGTGGAGCAGCTGCGGTTCACCGACAGACTAAAAACAAATAGCCAAAAATACTTCCCTAAAGTGGTTAAGGTGTAGGGCGTGATGAAAGGTTCTTGAAAAGCGTTAGTTGAATTTGGGCGTATGAACGGCACAAGTTCAAATTGCGATTAAAATTAAACGTTTAGTCTTTCTAACTGATTAAATAGAAAATTTCCAAATTGGCATTAGACATGGAATTGGTTTCTGGTTATGTACATTCAATTGCTGGTAAGTGAACGTTTTTCACTACTTCTTCAAGCGTGGAGGGTAGTGATAAGTTAACATAAAACAGCAGCAAGAAGATAGCGAAGAAAATCTCTTGTTTGACCGTCACGGACGGTCACGGACAACAGCTGCTTTAAAAGTCCTTCAACTGTACCTAAAATCATTCGGATGTGTTATCGAAGGGAGTGCAAATGTGTCCGATTTCTTTTTTTCTCTCAGTTTGCCTACTTGCTCGTATGTATAAATTGACCACACATGATTTGTTGCATTAAGTCAACCGCAAAGTACACGTTAATTTTCTGGCAGCCTGGGCGACCGCATGGCACATAAACAATGCCCCATAATGAGGATTTACGCGATTTCGAAACAATTTCAAAACCAAACTAACATACAACTGTGGCGGGCGCCGCACCTTGGCGCCGCTTTAAACATTGGTGCAAGTGCAATTTCAAAATCAAAAAATAAAAAAGGGAAAAACCAAAAAGTTGAAGAATATATGTAAAATTTCTTTTTTTTAACACAAAAATGAAACTTGTGTTAAAAATTTTTATCATAAATTGCAAATGTATTTGAAAAAAAAATATAATGAAAATAATCAGTGCATCAGTGCATTAAAACAAAATTATTTTTTGTGCAATTTCGGATGGAATATTTAGGTGAAACAAACCAACAAAAACACAAACAAACGCTGGAATAAACAAATAAATTTGCATTATTTTATAGTAAGTAAATTAAGTATGGATGAAGAGCTTGTGTAGGTAAGTATAAGTGCAGCAAACGTCGTGCCGTGCATTTAAGTTGCAATGCATTTAAGTGCAAAAAGAGAATATAGAGAAATATTACATAGCGTGGAAGTTCAAAGAGAGCCGATATTTTTCACAGAGCCACAAAACCAAAAACGGAAATTAAAGACAAAAATGTCCATTTTGTTGTTGTTGCATTTTTTTTCTCTCTTTTTTTTTTTGCTTTAATTGCTTTAAACGTAAAAAAAAAGTGAACGTAAAAGTGTAGTGGTTTGTATTGAAAATCATAATCATTAGTGTTGTTACGTGCTACAATTTTGCAAGTGTATTGAGTTTTATAAGCAGACGCAGACAAAAACACACGCATTCCAAGAGCAAATCAATCATACATTCATTCATTTTTATTTATGGATACATTAGATGTGCTGTTTGTCTGCATGAAGGAATAACAAAATATAATTTATACGTAAACATGTTTCATATTGATTTTGAAAATAATAATTCAGTTGAAAATTTATTTGATCTAAAATCATCAGCGAAAAATGGGAACATATCAATAAGCTCTGTTATTCTCTTTATGAGCTAGAAGTAAACACTAAATATTCCATGTCCAGCTGTCCGTCCAGAAAAACGTATACTAACCGCTCAGCAACTGGGACAACCGTAGAAAGTTTATATTTCAAAATACTGCTGTCAATAATTTGAAACGTACGTTTCGTGACGATTCAAAATTTCACACAAATCATTATAAAAGTCAGAGAAAAGTAGTTTTCAATCAAACCGCATTTTAAAATCACTGTACTTGCTGAATACGCGCCAAAGATTTTATGGGTTGTGTACCTACGGTTTTGATATATATGTATCTTATATCTGCCTATTTGCCTTAAACGTCTTCTTAAGGGGGAAAGAGGAACAAAACTAAAAAGTTTCAATCCATCAGGTAGACCATAGTACGTAAGTAAGGGCAGATTGCTTTCGTTGACGTCGACATCAATGTATGGGCAAAACTTCCAACTAGTCAAAATTATTCCATTTCCTTGCGATCTACTCTGAACTGAGTCGAAAATTCCCTTTATCCCTTTGAGGGTCTTCAAAATAAACGGGTACATTTTTGTGCATAAAAGCATAGAAAAGCACGAAAAAAAGTATTCCGCGTTATTTTGGGTGAAGATATCTTCGAAATTTCAATCCCTTGCATAAAACCAGATACAGTATATTAATAAATTGCAAAACATATATTCATATAAAACGAAAAAATAAGGGAATATGAATTCTTCACTCATTGTTTTGCTCTTGAAATCAACCGAAAGCAGTAAGCGGGCAAACATACTTCGCACTGCTGCATGGGAAACGATACTTGGCAGCTTGAAGACAACAGGTGTCACTTCATAGCTTGTAACATACAACTGGCGAAGACGTACATTTAATAAAGCGTTCTTTAAGGTGATACATTTAATGATATCATATACAGTAAAAGCTCTTTATTCCCGGGGTATATTTTTCATAAATATGCCGCGAATACAGAAACCGTTAATACGATTGTGATACGTGAATGGGATTGTAGGGGATACGTTCCTAGGTGACAAAATAAAAGAAAAATCAATTTAATTGAAGTTTTTGAACACTTTGATCAATTATCTTAAGGCTTACGCAATGGTTTGAGGAGTTTTGTAACTTTCTCTTGATTGGCAGTTTTTAAAAGCTCCTTCAATTGAGACTGATACCCAGCAGTCGCATTAGCAATTTCCCTCTTAAAAATAAGACTTCGTCCCATAGACGGATCAATGTTCATAAAGAAATAGCGAAGCTCATTGGCCATTCTTAAACCTTCATTAAGATTTTTCAAATTAAATGTAACGTTCCCAGTGCTTGTTGAAGCCCCTTCTTCAATGGGCTGTAATTTAACATTTCCTCCAAGTCGGTTTCAGTCAAATCTTCATCTTGCGATTCAAGCAATTCCTGAATGTCACTTGATTCTGTGTTCGAACCCATCTCGTCCTGTTCCATTCCCGTTTTCGGCTATGTTTGCAGTCAAAGTTTTGAACTTTCACAGACAAATCGTCATTTTCCGCAGTCAGAGCGGGCCACAGTTTTTTCCAGCATGACTTCAATGTGTGTTGCTTCAGTTCTTCCAATAATTTTTTTATTTTTACGATGCATTTTGCTATGT